AAAGACACACCATTGCACGAACACATGTGATATGTGTGTTTGTTCAAATGGAAAAGAAAACAACTTATCTAGGGTAGAGGGATAGGGAGGGGAGGGTATTGTCTATATCATAAACAAGCACTGGATAAATTAAGATAAATATTTATTCCTGAATCAACAATTCAAATGAAAATATAACATTTATGTTAATGCTCATATGATGATGAAAGTGTTGAAATAACCACTTAAAAATATCTTTCAGGCAAAGAGAAGTTTATGATGGATTCAGAAACACTAACTTTTGTATTGGAAGACGATGGAACAGAAGTTGACAGCTGTTACTGGGAAACACTTCCTCCCTATACCAAACTTGTTCTGTTACAAGATGATGATGTATGGGAACCAGCTGCAGGTAATGGTCAATTTCATTGACTCGGGGCTATATTGTAAAAATTAACAAAGAGGTCCAGAGGGCCTGTATCGCTCACCTGAATATTTAAGCAGTCATAGCAAAATATTCTCATTAAATAGTATATTGCACTAAAAATATTTCCCTCGCAAACTTTGTTGGCTCCATCTGTTGAAACTACCAGCAAAATATTATTATAAGATTCTATGCTTTTTGATTCTTCTTCAGAAGTTGCTCGACATATTTTCCCGTGACCTTGTAAGTAGGTCAATGCCATATTCCTTCTCAAATTGGTTAGCTCCATCCCAAAAAGCTACCAGCCAAATTTTATGAATCCATTCCTTTTAGTTCTTAAGAACAAATCCATTAAAATGTTGTTCACCTCTGTGACCTCTAAAGTAGGTTGAGGTCATTTTCATTCGCAAACTTTGGTGAGCTCTATCCCATGAAGTCACCAGCCAAATATTATAATTTTATGCCTTTTAATTCTTCAGAAAAAGTAGTTTGAACTGTTTGACATATTTGAACGCTGTGACCTTGAAACTAAGTCAAGGTCATTTTCATTCGCAAACTTTGTTTGGCTCTTTCCCAGGAAGCCACCTGCCAAATATTAAGATTTTATACTTTTCAGTTCTTCAGAAGAAGTTCTAAGCGATAGACATATCTGACTCCTGTGACCTTGAAAGTAGGTCAAGGTCACTTTCATTCGCAAATTTTGTTGGGCGTTTTCCCAGGAAATAAGCAGCCAAATATAAAGGTTCTATAACTTCCAGTTCTTCAGAAGAAGTCGTTTGAAGTGTTTGACATATCTGCCTCATGTGACCTTGAAAGAAGGTCAAGGTCATTTTCATTCTCAAACTTTGTTGGGCTCTTTTCTAGGAAGCTACAAGCCAAATATAAAGATTATATACCTTTCAGTTCTCCAGTAGAAGTTGTTTGAGGTGTTTGACACATTTGACCCCTGTGACCTTGAAAGAAGATCAAGGTCATTTTCATCCTCAAACTTTGTCAGGCTCTATCCCAGGAAGACATCAATCAAATATAAAGATTCTATACCTTTCAGTTCTTCAGAAGAATTCATTTGAAGCTTTTGACACATCTGACCCCTGTGACCTTGAAGGTAGGTCAAGGTCATTTTCTTTCTCAAACTTTGTAGGGCTTCTTCCAACAAAGCTTTGAGCCAAATATCACGACTCTAGGCCTGTCCGTTCTTCAGAAGAAGTTGTTTAAAGGAAAAGTTGACGGACGATGACGGACAGACAGACGGACGGACGGACGACAAACCATGACATAAGCTCACTTGCCCTTTGGGCAGGTGAGCTAAAATGAGATGCATATGTAAAATCAGGTTGAAGTTGAACTTGCATTCAATAATTCAGAGCTGACTTTTAAGATTATCTGGATTCAACAACTTTTGTTGTACTTTATCGAAACTAAAATTGCTATGATAATTGGCCAATAAGCAGGTATCTGCAACAAATTGTAACAAACGTGTAGGCTTGTAATCAGACACGAAGTCATTTTAATTTTAGCAGCTACAACATCAACAAGAGTAATGCAAATTATGGAGAATTTAAAGCAAAAGAAAGAAAGCAGCAAGGCCATAAGTGGTATGTGTCATATTAGTTGGTTAATAAATGGCCTGCAAATATTTCTAGTCAATAGCTTAATGCTAAAATTAACAATATGTATATACATGAAGTAACTGAAATATAGAGTTGTTGCCTATTTTTGGGTTCAAGACCTGGCACAATATATCTGTTGCCTGAAAGCAAAATATATGGTCCGAGTTTGTTCATACCGTGGCATCCGTCGGCCGTTCGTCGTCCGTCTCTACGTCAACAATTTCTTCAAACAACTTCTTCCTCTTAATCCCTGATTGGAATTTAACTAAATTTGACTGGAATCATTCATAGGTAAAAGGGATTCAAAATTGTACAAATGGTGGGGCTGATACCACAGGGGTTGAGGGGCGGACCTAAAAGGGGTCAATTTGGCTATATTGCTATAAACAACTTCTTCCCTAGAACATTGCACTGGATATCAATAATATTAGGTTGAAAGCATACATGGGAGGTGGATATTCAAAATTGTACAAATGGAGGGGCTGAGAGGCGGGGCCAAAAGGGGTTATTTGGCCATATTGGTTTAAGCGACATCTTCTCTTGAACTAGGCGATGGATATCAACCATTTTTGACTGGTAGCATCCCAAGGTGGTGAGGATTCAAAATTGTACAAATGATGGGGCTGAAGGGCGGGGCCAAACAGGAGGCCCATGGGCCTTAACGGTCACCTGATATATTTATATAGAGAGTTGATTTTGTTTTTAACATGAACAGAAATATTCAAAGTGACAAAAAACAATAAAACAACCTTATTCAATATCTAGCATACAGATTTCAGACTAAAAAGTATTTGATATTAGCACCTCTGATTCTAAACAAGGTAAATGAAGAAATTTTAGCACACTGACTCCTTTGAGCCACACCCTACAGCCCTTGGGGGTAGGGCTGGCTCAAAATTTCCAAAGTATCAAACTGTCAACTCAAGGTTATAATTCCAATCAAGTTATTAACATGTAATATTCAAAGTATCATTTGCCATTATAAACCATAATGAATTTTGCCCCCCTCCTTCCCCAGGGGGTAAACGTGAGACCCTAGGGTCATAAACCTCAAGACCCTTCAATCTATGAAGAGTATTTGATTTTACCATATCAGGGTCTTGAGAAGAAGATTTTTGAAATTTCAGTCAATTCAACCCTTTTTGGCCCCACCCATCAGCCCCTGGGGGTCAGTCAGGGCTCATATATATGTGCATACTATCAAACTGCTACCTAATACTGATAATGCTTACCCAAATTGAATTACTTCCAATGGAAATTAAACAAATGTTGGTCCAAAATGTGATTTCCCTATATAAACTAAAGTAAAGTTTATTGCCTCCCCAGGGTCAAGAAATTCACAATTGTAGTTAAGCACCTTAAGACACCTTCCATATATGAAGAGCATTTGATTCTACCATATCAGGGTCTTGAGAAGATTTTTGAAATTTCAGTCAATTCAACCCTTTTTGGCCCCACCCATCAGCCCCTGAGGGTCAGTCAGGGCTCATATGTGCATACTATCAAACTGATACCTAATACTGATAATGCTAACCCAAATTGAATTACTTGCAATGGAAATTAAACAAATGTTGGTCCAAAATGTGATTTCCCGATATAAACAATAGTAAAGTTTACCCCCTCCCCAGGGGGAAACGTGAGACCCCAGGGTCAAGAAATTCACAATTATGGTAAAGCACCTTAAGACCCTTCCATATATGAAGAGTATTTGATTCTACCATATCTGGGTCTTGAGAAGAAGATTTTTGAAATTTTAGTCAATTTGACCCTTTTTAGCCCCGCCCCGCAGACCCCATGTGGGTTGGGACTAAACCGACCACTATTTTTGTTGACCTTTGTCCATGGAAGGTCCCTGCAAAATTTCATTGAAATTGGTTCAAGGGTTTTGGAGAACTAGATTTCTGAACGTTTAGTCATTTTGACCCTTTTTGGCCCCGCCCCTCAGGCCCCTGGGGGCTTGGGACTAAAAACTATCTTCCATGAATTCTGTATGCATAACCTACCCGCTTTTATAACAAATTAGGTCCACGAGCCGTTAAGTCATCTGAGGAGAAGAATATGTATAAAGTATCTTGTAGAAATATATAGGTGTACAAAAGGAATGTGGGTATTTACAAAATACCCTTTTCTTTGATAGGGATAAAGGGATTTTATCCTAATTTGGTATAGATCATCATTGGCAAAAGGGTTCAAAATTGTGTATAAACGGAGGTTATGACACTCCTGGAGGCAGAGGGGCGCAGCCCAGAAGCATCATAAAAGTAATACTTGCTCTTCATGAAGAAGACCACCATTATATAATGGCTACACGGAGATTAAATTCACATGTTACTCATGAACTGCTCATGCACCAGTGTTCAAATATATTTTGCAATACATGCATAAGATTTCAAGATTATTTATTTGAGGCAAATATAAATGTTATTCAGTGGAATTGATGTTCAATTTATTTGATTGAATAGATTTAGTAAAAAACAACTATTTCCCCATTCCTGGGAAAAAAGGGAAATCACCTTTTTGTGTCAATAATCCTGCATATTCACCTTATTTAATGGCAATAAGTGTATAAAATCAATTAAAGTAATGACAAATATTTCTGATATTGACCATTGCATCTGAAACACAATTTAGTTCAAGGTTGTCTCATACTTGACCATTGTCTAAGATGCATGTTTTTTAGGACTTTGTTAATTGTATTAAGTACATTATCAGAGTTTCGATCTTATTGCAATCGCCATGTGGAGAGCAGTAACAAAGAAATGGCCCGGATCTGCAAGAAAATCCCAAATATGACCTATGTCCCACATTCCACATTCAGTCATAAGGGAATTGTCAACCGTAGCCTGATACCTACCGATGGTTTACATCTGAAGCCTGCCGGTATACAGCAACTAAAGTCTGAAATCTGGGATGGAATCAAAACGGCGCACATTAGGAAGGCATACATACCTCCATAACAACATATTGAGGAACCTGATGATGACCAGACAGAACCATCATATGAGGACTGTACACCATACAGAGATGCACTGCTTAAGACAGAAGATGAGAGGAGGACACATCATCACATCTACAACCGCCATCACCGAGACCAGGATGCGTATCAGGAGATTGGCCGTCACTGGAATCTGGATTCGTCCTCACCAGGAAAGATGCCATTATCAGGAGGGACAACGAAACTGATGCAAAGATGAGGACTAGTGCAAGGAAAGGCAATGACACTTCCAGCACATCGGACAACTACAGTCTGAAAGACATTTCTCGCAAGTAGGATGCCAACACCACAAGAAGGGATGATGTTAAGAAGATAAAGCAACCACCTGCAGAGACGCAACTTAAAGGAGGACCATAATGGCTACTGTGATATTTACAAAAGACACACGGAGATTAAATTCACATGTTATTCATGAACTGCTCATGCACCAGTGTTAAAATATATTTTGCAATACATGTATAAGATTTCAAGATTATTTATTTGAGGCAATTATAAATGTTATTCAGTGGAATTGATGTTCAAGTTATTTGACTGAATAGATTCAGTAAAAAACAATTATTTCCCCATTCCTGGGAAAAAAGGGAAATCACCTTTTTGTGTCAATAATCCTGCATATTCCTTAAAGGAGGACCACCACAACCAGAAAGGATGTCACTAGCAGTAGGGACACAACAACACTACGGAGTGATGCCACAACCACAAGAAGGAATCCACCAGCCAAGAGACATCACCAACGGAGAGGACATGGCCACCACCAGGGACATCACCACAGGAAGGGAGATGACAACTGAAAAGGACTCAACTACAAGGAGGACCCCCACCACAAGAAAGGATGTCACTAGCAGTAGGGACACAACACTACGAAGTGATGCCAAAACCACCAGAAGGAAGTCCACCAAGCCAAGAGACATCACCGATGGAGAGGACATGGCCACAACCAGGGACATCACCACAGGAAGGGAGATGACAACTGAAAAGGACTCCACTACAAGAAGGACCCCCACCACCAGAAAGGATGTCACTAACGGTAATAGTAACAAGAGGCCCAATGGGCCTGAATCGCTCACCTGGTATCAATCTCACAAATAATCTTAAAAGTGGACTAAAATACAACTACAGGCATAATATCAGTGTTTGCCTCATAAGAACCTATTAAAACATTTAAACAAATGACGCCTGTGACCTTGAATATAGTTTATAGTCGTCCAACCAAGCATGCTTCTGGCAAAATATCATTACCCTGGACCTTTTGGTTATACAGAACAAGTCATTGAAAGATTCAAACATATTTGACCCCTGTGACCTTTATTATATGTCAAGATTATTCCTTTGAACAAACTTGGTAGTCCTTCATCCTAGCATGCTACCGGCGAAACAGCATCATCCTAGGACTTTTGCTTATTGAAAAGATGTTGTTTAAAGGTTTTAAACATATTTGTTTAATACAGTCAATATTATATATTAACACGAGTGTTAGCTTCACACAAATTCAACACCTGCATGGTCAAATTCCACTTGAACTTCTCCGCATTCACACAATCAATGGCGAACACGTGTAACCGGTCAACTTCAACAGTCTTCCAGTTTCATGGCGGATTCAAAAGTATACTTTCTGGCTCAGTAACAGGCGGAAACATCGAGGTTCACATTCACCAACAACCCTCTCCGAAGAAATAGGCTTGTGTTATAGAGAGCGACAATCACTCTAATCCCTTCAAACTTTTCAAAAGTGAAGACTTCGATGTGTATTATGCTGACATTTACCTTGACAGTGCACGCGCCGTTGTGCCAAATGTGTGACGTCATTGGTATTTTAGTAAATGCCAATTTGTTGAATGGTTTTCGTATAAAAAATATTATTAATGTTGTTATGATATTGATTAAAACATTAGTTGATGAAACCTAAATAAGTATGTTCTCGGGAAGAAGTTTCTGCAACTATTTTTTTGTGACGCAGCGAGCTCAAAACAAAATGCATGTAATGCGTCCTTTTGTCAGCCAACGGTACAATTTATAAAGAGACGTGTCAAGAAAACAAAAATTATATAATAAATACAATCTTACACTCGTGTTCATGTAATATTGAATTTATTAAACTCGTTCAATAAATTCATTATTACATGAACACTCGTGTCAAATCCTCTGGGAGGTGATGAAAAAGGAAGTAGCCGCCTTATATGTTTTACCAAGGACTTACAGTCCAGGAAAGCGGGATGGCTCCTTGAACTTTAACGAGTTTAGACCCCCTGCATCATCCACCCTTTTTCATATTGTTTGCGATGAAATGCTACAACAAATAATATTTGGAGAAAGATGTTCTTGTGTAATTATGAGTTTATAATTGTCTGGAATATACGGTTGCTTTAAAGAGTGAAGTGCCAATTAAAAAGAATCCAAAGAAGGAACAGACAAATGAAGTTGGAGTTTATGATCTTCACACATAATGCTGTCCCAGCAATATTCTTGAATATACAAAAGTTAAAGGTTTATTAGGAAATTCGGTGAAAAACCTTTCGGTGAATGGCCGATAAAATTAGAAAGGGGAGACAGAAGGAAATGATAGGGAGAGAGAGAGGTGAGAAAAGAAGGAAAATTAGCACCAATTAGCAAAACAAAAACGAGCCTTTCACGCATTTTGTATGTGAACCCCCGCGACCTGTTGCCTCGATCTGGAGAGAGTGTATTTTCTCATTGTAGTAAACTAATTGTTGCACCATTTCAAGTGAAAATAGCAATTATTTTGTAGTGACCTATAGTTTATTTCACATTTTCTGTCACTAGGTCAGGTTTTAGTTAAAATACTGCAAGGGTTAGCCATTGAAAGGAAATGAACTCCTACCATATGGGAATAGAATCCCAGTCGCTCATTGGCTGATTTAGTTGCGTGAGTCCTTGTATGATTCAACATTTAATCTATGACTCCTGCAATAACATTTATTTGTACAGACAACCTCATACCAGCGGAAAAGGTACAAGAGATCTTGATGGCATTTACTTCCTTGCAGGAGCTGCTCTTGACAGCACCAGAGCCCTGTCAGGAGAAGTACATTGCCATCAGGAGTATGCTCATATTCATGTTATTGATTGTGAATGGCCAACGCTGTGGGGCCATCACGAACATTATGGTTGGGGAATTAGACAAAAGACGATCCCAAAAGGGCCTCGGCATTATCAAGGTAACTGCTTTGTTTTTAGATGTAGTTTAAGAAATTAACTCCCTACCCTTTACAAGGTATTAAAACCAGTCGTCAACAACGGCGACATTGCCAAAGAGAGTCAAAGACTCATGAAGCTGCATTTTGTTAAGCAAAACTAGTTGGTTCAGTAACAAAAAGAAACTTCTAACTGGGCGACGTTGACACGTTTCGTAGAACACTGTGGTAAAAATCAATTTACTATTAATATTTCCTCGCAATTGCCGATCGTATTTTGAACTTTCCTATGTTTTTATTGGCTTTGAACTTTGTAATCAAGGATTATATAGCATAAAACTAAATGTCTGGGTGTATATAGAAATCGTTGATATTTAAAGTAAGAGCTAATCGTGTAACGTTGCCTTTTATTTTATTTTTTTTACATTAGGGTATACTTGTAGGTATTTATTGTTATAATAAATTATTGAATTTTAGTGATTCTTTTTATTTTGTTGGCATTAACCAGGTTTATATCTGACCGTAACACCCATCTACATCTTTTGACCAAGATATTGTCCCATTTTGATATAAAGTGTAACATTTAGGAATAACTACACGAAAACATTTCAAGGAACAAATCGGATTACTGTTTCCTTATAGAATCAATTATTTATCTCTGACGTGACAGGAACAGGATTGGTTAGGTCGGTTTGTTTATTTACAGCTTTTGATTATCGTTCTCTTCTAGCTCATGGATTGACAACATCAAGACATGCCTTACCCGCAACCGGGGCACCAACAGGTATATATTGTTCATGGCTATTATTCCGTGGGTATACCTGGGACAACATTCTCACTTATGGTAACTCGGTGGAGTTGCGTACAAAACAAACATCGAATTTCCTTAGATTTCGGCTTTGTGATCTTTATTTTCAACTAAATACAGAATTCCCATACTGCATAAACTTTTATCTTTACAAAGCAAACAAAAGAGAGGGTGCTAGCGTATATACTTACGAAAACAATTTTTGGTTAGACACGGATTACAGCTTCTCTATGGAATACGTTATGTATCTTAGATATACGGGAGCAGTATTGGTATCGTCGATTTTTTTGTTAATTTACACCTTGTGACTATTTGTTCCTTTCTAGAGCAAGACATCACAGAAAACTCCGGAGCAGAAGCTGAAACAGCTATATGTGGTAATCATCTCACCATTATGATATTTAAAGCACACAAACATAGAGGGTGCTAGCGTGTATACTTTACGAAAACATTTTACGGTTAGACACGGATTCCAGTTTCTCTATGGAATAAATTATTTATCTCCAATATACGGGAGCAGTATTGGTATCGTCGATTTGTTTGTTAATTTACACCTGGTGACTATTTGTTCCCTTCTAGAGCAAGACAACACAGAAACCTCCGGGGTAGAGGCCGATACCTCATCGACAGCTTTATGTGGTAATTATTTTCACCTATGATGTCAAAAACAATGTAGATGCTATTTTCAAAGCACACAAAAATTAAGGGTATTAGCGTGTATACGAAAACATCCTATGGTTAGACACGGATTACAATTTCTGTAAAGAATAAATTATATATCTATGATGTAGCGGGAGCAGTATCGTCGTTTTGTTTACAACTTATGACTGTTGTTCTTTTCTAGCGCAAGACTCCACAGAAGCTGAGGACAAAACACTGTCAACAGCTATATATGGTAATACTTCTCACCTATGATGTCATTTATATACCCTGTCCAGGCATATCGGTGTACTATCTAACCCTATCCTGTGTGTATAGGTATAGCAGCATACTATGCCCCCGAGTAGATGAAATGGCTTAAGGATTCCAAGTCAATGTTGATACATATAATGTTCCTCCCTAAATTTTTCATTTTTTTCTCTTCATTGTATTATCTTTAAAACAAACGTCCCAAGAGGGCCTGTATCGCTCACCTGAATATTTAAGCAGTCATAGCAAAATATTCCCATTAATTATTATATTGCACTACCTTGCAAACTTTGTTGGCTCCATCTGTTGAAACTACCAGCAAAATATTAT